GGTACAAGCTATGTTGAAGCTTATCGAACTCAAAAATGCTATACATTTGTAAAACAAGGGTTATGGCAACTACACCGCCTTCATATTACTAATAAATTAGACTTCATAATAACCGTAATAATTGGAATTTTACATAATAATTAAAGTTAAAAAACTGATTACAGTCAAACCTTGATATAATGAACTTGATATAGCGAATTTTTAAATCAAATATATTAAAATTACCTTATTATAGTGAATAACCAATTAAATTCTTTAAAAAATTCGTTATAAGCTTATAATGAAGTTAATATCCAGATCCTAGAATTCGTTATATTAAGAGTTCACTTTAATCATCTTAAATTAAATATATTATGTGACTATAATATTTGATCTATAAAATTGGCCCACTCACCTTTTGAATCAGATAATTTTTAGTATTTTCTTAAATAAATCATTTAAAATAAAGGTAAGAAATTTGATTTTTAAAAAATAAATTTAATAATCATTTTTATTTTTTTATCTTAATTTATAGATGTGATAAAATTATAACAATTGAATGGCTGATTTTGTTAAAGAATTAACACCTGCTGGTAATATCAATAAACCTTTATATAAACTATAATAAATTAAATGAATAATTTATAGAATACTGTTGATATTAATTTAATTTAATGATCTTTTAAATATTGTGACATTTTTAATAAAGATGATGAAATTGAGGATGAATTAATCTTTGATTATAATTGTTTTAGACAATTAGATTAATCGAATAGTAAAATAAAAATAGATAATATGATAATACAGATCAAAGAATAAATATTAAAGGAAATGTTGATGATTATATGATGAACAAGAAACAAATAATACTAATATATAGAATGATTAGTAATTTTAATTTTGATTAAAAAATGAAATAAAAAAAATTTTTTTTTATAAACATTTAATAAATATAAAAATGAGCCTTTTAATTAATATTAGGATACTTTTTAAAAAGACAGCATTTACAATTGAATAATATCTTGATATTAATTAAAAAATATACAGTCAAACTTTGATATAGCAAACCCTTAAAATAGCGAATTTTTAAATCAAATATATTAAAATTACCTTACTATAGTGAACTAGCCAATTAAATTCTTTAAAAAATTCGTTATAAGCTTATAATGAAGTTGATATCTAGATCCTTTAATTCGTTATATCAAGAGTTTACTGTACATTTTTAGGGAATACTATATACTGTATAATGCTATATAGTAGAATATATTTGAATGTATTATAATAATATCTTAAACTTTACATAACTTGCTATTGATATATAAAGTTCTTTTATAACTAATAATTATAAACTAAAAAACTTAAAATGAAACAAATAATACATTAACATATAAAATAGTTAACCTAGAATTATAGTTAATCTAAAAAATTTATATTTTATTAATTTTGTAAAAAGAATTATCCTTAATAATCTTTATTTTCTTATAAATAATATTGTTAATAATATTAATTTAACAAAAAATACTAATATTTTTAATATATTATGATTTTTTTACAACTTATAGATAATGTAAATATAAAATCAATCAATTTAAAACTGAAAAGAAAATAATCACATTTCAAATACCTATTAATTTAATATCAACCTTTGGTCTTTATCATGATTTATTTTTATTTTATATAATACTACTCTAAAATCACAAATTATTTTAAAACTTAATCTTTTATAATATATATTAGTTAAATTTTTAGTCTGAAAGTAATCATGTCTCATTAGCTAAACAAATAATTTGTTTTTTATTTTATAGCCAATTTAATATAAAATTAGTATTAATTTAGTTTAATTTTATTTTAGATAGATACTTTTATATATTTTTTATTTTACTTTTATACTTGTATAAATTTGTAATTTAATAAAGATAATATAAAATTTTATTTCAAAAAACAAGTAAAAAGTAGAATGACTATAATCTTTATCCTTAATATAATAACACTTAACTATTACTTATTTAAGAATAATTTTATTAAAGTAATATATATAAAGTATTACTAGAAATACTACTAACATTAAATGTTTTATATAAAAGACATTTAATCATTTTTGAACAAACAATTATTCTAATTATAATTTAACTAATAAATTCTTTAAACACATTTAAAAATGCTTTAATAATAAATTCTTTTTAAAATTAATAATCTATATTCAAAGTATTTAAAGGTTCTTACTTCTTAAATTTGATAAATTAAAAAATTCTGATATATTATATAATCATATAATTTAACATATTTAATACTTATTTATTAATCACCTTCTAAATAATTTGCTAAAATGTTTTTTATTAATATGATTAAAAGATTTATTTATTATAATTAGTTAATAATATTGTTAAAAATATAAATATTACCAAGATTTTACTTTTTTTTATTTATCATAATCTTTTTGAAGAAATCTAAAACATTTGAATATTTATATGTGAATCCTTTAAAGAATGAAAGATTAAAATAATATTATTTTAAGATATAAACTAATTTAGACTTATAAGTCACCTTATATTTTATCTTTATTTCTCATATATGCTTCCTTCATCTTTCTTCAATTTAATTAATTTAAGTTTTCTTTAATTAAATTTTTGATCAAAAAGTAACCATATTCCTTATATTAGACAATTGGTTTTATTACATTTTTTTATAATTTAACTTAATTTTAATTTAGCATTATATAAGATTGATATTGATTGTAATTTAGTTTTTTACTTTTTTAAATATACTTTTTTATTTTATTTTTTATACTTGTATAATTCATAAAATCAATAAAATTATATAAAACTTTCAAAATAAAAAAAAATTATGTAGTAAGTAGAAATTTTATGTAAATAAAATAGTAAATTTTATAAAGATATTATAAAACTTTTATACCAAAAAAAAAGTAGAAAGTAATAAGTATATAATATACTTTTTGATTTTAAAATATTTTGACTTATATATATGATAATTAATCATAAAAATTTTATTTTTAAATAAATAATTTAATATATTACAATTAATTTTAATTTGTAATATGAAATTTGAAAGAAAAATTATTGAAAGAATAGTTGCTCTAGCTGCTCTAGCTATTTGTTTTATATATTAAGACTTTTGCATAAGTAATCTATAACTTTGAATGTATTGTTACTTTATTAATTTATAGTTTTTTAATGTTAATATGATTATAAGAAATTTAAATATATTTTTTATTATTCTTGAAATCTATTTCAAATTGCTTTAATTTAAAGTAGATCTTGCAGTTTCTATTACAATCATCATGATTACATACAAGAAATCATTTATTTACAAATCTAATCACAAAATCGCTTCTCCGGCTTTCAATATAAACTACTTTTGTTATAGGAAAGTTCCTCTACTTAAAGTTTAAAGTGGATTGATTTTGCCGTATAATACTTATTATAATAATTATAATTACGTTCTTTAAATGCCATTTTGGCAATTTAAAATTTCTTAATAATAAATATAAAGCATACACTAGGCTATCAAACGTAAATTTATTATGTGAAATGATAACGTGATAAAATTTGGTCTCTTTTATGATGGTGAGTTTTTTTGCAGAATGCATCTAAAGTTTAATTGTTGTTCTGATTTAAAGATCACATGGATTAATGATCTTAAGGTAATAATATTCTGATACATAAAAAAATACAGGATTAAAAGAAAACTTAATTGTGAAATAATAATCAAGATAAATAGTTTTCAAGGTATAGAACCATATTATCATAATATGTTTATAAAATATCAACTTAAACCTTTAAATAATTCAGTAAAAATATTATTTATAATCATTTGTTTTTAGGTATGGCCATCAATGCCAAATTTTCTAGAGAAGTTGATGGTTCAACATAATAAATTAATTCCACATCAAATCCATTTGCTTCTAAATACTTTGTTCTTCCTATATCTATTATTCGTTTACATTTGTATCCTAATTGTTCTCTTACTGAATGCTCTAGACCAGAATAATGCATTCTAATTAAACAAAGTCAAGTCATTAGAAATCAAATATATTACGATGCTCATAATACAAAAGTGATTTTCGATACATACTTGTTATTTTCCTCCTCATCTTCTACCTCATTATAAGCATGATTGTCTTCATAATCATCATCATCATCCCCGTCGTTAGAGTTTTTATCACAAGTCGATCTTTGTCCACAAATTGCCCAACTGCTCATTGCGCATATTCTCTTAAAATCATTTTCCGTAATTCCAAAGGTTTGAAGATATTCTTGGTATGGAAACATATGGTAACGACAAAGTTGATGACAACAAAGCGCTATGATAATTCCGATGACCGGATTCCTGTTGCGTATGATATCATGAAAATATGTGGAAATAAGGAAAATCAGAAAATAAGAAATAGTTTATTTATTATTATCAATGATAGATAGTAATTTACCGATCTATATTAGACTTTGAGTGATTGACCAATGATTTCAAAGTGATGTCTGTTGCCGATCCGCAAAGATGTTTGGAATACACCACGACATTTTTACCCTTTAAAAGGTCTAATTTTGATAAATCCAAGTCTTTAATATCCATTCCGACACGTTTCACTAATGATTTCTTTTCTGAATTGCCTCTTATTACATTATCAAACTTTAATGATATAATTGGGTTTTGTCAAAATATATTTCGATTGAATTATATTATCGGCACAATATACAAGATGTCATCGAACCTTGCAACGCGTATTCTTGCGATCTATTAAAATGAAAGAAGCCGAGCCTTCATCCTGAACAGCTAATTTTGTGAAATATGACAATTCACCTAAATCAAGGGAATAATCATTAGAAACGAGGAATTGACAAAAATTTGAAAATTAAACCTTAATTACCTTTACCGGATCCATATTCTATGAAACAAGCGTCTTTGCGTAGCAACTGTAACCTTTCTAAATGACCAATTAAAGAAGCCTTATTCCAAAAAAAAAAGCATGAATTCACACGATCAACATAAAAAGTGGTAAAGATTCTACTAAAAACAGTATTTATTCTTACTTGCTGAACCGCATGTTTTCCATTTTTAGTTGATTCTCTAAAAATAAATTAAAACGATTGTGTATCAAACACAGAAAATTATAGAACTTAAACTGAATTCCAAAGGGAGCATACTTTTTTTCCTTTAAAACAAGGTGATCCATCACTTCCGTCTTTATTTTCGGAACAAGTTGTTGATACCATTGATTTACATTGTTTATCAGAGTATCTAATGTTTCTTTAGAAAGATGTGAAAGCGTCATTTTTTCTTCAAATTCAGGGAACGGTAAAGTACAATTGATGTTTAAAGAGAAATATGGTGGATTAGGTGGAGGACGAGAGTTACATTTTTTTTCTAAATGTTTATTGAGCTCATCCTTATTCACTGTACTTGATAAACGAAAGACAAATTATTAACGAGGTGAAAATAGCTGATAAGCACATCATGTCACGTGACTCACTGCGATGGGTCATAGGGGCAGACAATGCGTTCTTTGCCTTTTTTCTTTGCATCATAAATGGCGTGTTCTCCACAAAAGTCATTGTCGATCTTTGTTGGAAGATGACAATATCGTCTATGGAAAAAAGGTGACAAATTTAATAATATTGTGATAATACTTTACATTTTAAATCGTAGGTGAGGTTGACTAATTTACCTCTTACGTTTTACCCAAAAATGACATTGACGAGGCTAAAATCATCAGCAAATAATTAACCCAAATCTCGTTTATTTTTTTTTCATTTTTGATTAAATTCTTTATAATCACAAATGATACAAATTTTATCAAGACATACATTATCCGGAGGCGGTGGTGGTGGAGTTTCTTTCTCCTTTTGACGCTTCGCTTGAGGTTCTTTCGGCATATTTCTGATCTACGAACCAGGTAAAAATTCAAACAATCGATTCAAAAAGCTGGTGTGTTATGTTGTGTAGCCGTGCTACTGCACATATATCACAGACATTTGTTCAACTTTATTTCGTTATACCATCATACTGGGCTTACCTAACTGGGAATAACCGCAGTATAAATTAAATTGAGAAACCTTGAAATTCGGTACATTTTGTGCTAAATGTATTTTTTTTTAAACAAATAATATAAATAAAACCTATTTTTTATATGAATTTTTTTCTTATCTGAACAAAGGGAACTTTTACAATATATAGTCTTGACTTTTTAAAGTTTGTACAAGATTGTATATCATATGATACATATTTATACTTTATTTATAAAGGATTCTGTTGTGCGCCTTATTGATTATCGGCAGTTGTCACACGCTATACGAATTCTCGCTTAAATTCTTGATACAAAGTGCTTTATTTTTTTTTAAAAAAAAAAAATATTTTATTAATAAACTTTACGATTCTTTAACATACCTTGTGCAAATTCATTAACCTCATGTTTGCAGCAAACGATCTCGAATCAGAATTTTATTACACATCACCAGATCTAATTTCAAGTGAAAGTGACCTGGAAGAAAATAACAACGCACAAGAAGAGGATTTAGAAACCGGTAATATTGATACAGTGGACGATCTTTCAAACGGACGTCATTATGGCGATTATAATACAATAAATATGGATTTAGATGGTGAATACACTTCTGACGAAGAACAGCGTCCTCGTCCGACGCCAACAACAAGTCATACTTTTCAACGACTTGTTGACCCTTTTGCTACCCGTCACCACCATAGATCTTCTTCACAGCGCAGCCATGGCTTCTCTCCGTTAGGAACACGGTTTTCATCGTTGCGGAGACAAAATGCAATTACATCTTCATTTCTTACACAACATGTTAAAAATAATAACGAACTTGCCAAACAAGCTATATCCGATAATGGCTCAAAAGATTTGAGACAATTTCATTTGCCTGAATCTAGTTTTTTACGTGCTGGAATGTCGTTTACCGGAACGCAAAATTTAATGAATTCACAACCTCAACAAAGGGACGAAGAATGGGAAGTAAAAGTGGTAAATATTATTCAAATGATTTCTTTTTTTTGATAAATCAATTAGGATTATTATCTTTAATTAACTCATTTTTTAAATTATACAGACAATTCATTATGTAGATTATAAGACTGGAACCGTTATCGGATTAATGGAAGCTTTGAATGTACCAAATAGTTCAAACACCGTTGTTACGTATTGGGAAGGTGAAATGATTGATTTTGTTAACCATTTTCTTTGGACGGACAAATGGAATTCTAGCCCGGAAATTGATCTTCAACATTGGAAGAAATTCGAAGCCTTCCGTCATATGGATGTTCGAAGGTATTGATAATTACGAAAGTTCGAAAGTTTTTAAGATTGACATGCAATTTTTAAACCTATTTTTATAATTAGTATAACCAGAGGAACCCCAACTAGAGAATGGTTTCAAGAAGCATGTCAAAAATATATATTCATGAGATGGAAGGGTGCGCATTTTTATGTTTTTGGTCGTTACACGAGATCTTATTTTTTGGGGAGATGCATAATTATATGAAATTTTATATTTATGTAGAACATTATTTTGTTAACGTAACTGCTCAGGAAAGTGGGTTAACTATTGCCGGATTTTATTATATTTGCATTAGGAGGAGTGATGGAGCTATTGAAGGTAATATAAAAATTTTCAATTATCATTAATTTATTTGTATATGGGCCTTTATTAATGTAACTTTATTTTCTTTATTAGGTTATTATTTTGATCCTGTTTCTACACCGTACCAAAAATTGACCCTTAAACCATTATTAGAAGGGAATGGGATTTCATTCTGTGATTATAGTCTTAATTAACAATCATTCGAAGTTTATTTTTTTAAGCAATATATATATATATATATATTCCTTTATTTTATTATTATTTTTTTTTTTGAATTCATTTCACTTATATATATATATATCCTGGCAAAATACACATCTATATTTTTGCATTTAACGTTAGTAAAAACCCAACATTTATCCGCAAATATATATATATATATATTTTTCATTGCAAATACCAAATGAATATTTTTGTAGTATAGTTTTAAGGATTTTTTTTCTTCTTTTTTATTATCTTAACTTTTATACAGATATGAACATATACGGTATATATAGTTTTTTTTTTTAATTTTCTTTTTTTTTTTTTTTTTTTTTTTTTATAGTTTTTTTAAACGAAAATATATATATTTATATTTTCAAAATATTTTTTATTATTAAAAATCAAAGAAATACACGAAGTTTTATATTTAAACTTTTTTTTTTTAACAAAAAGGAAAATAACGTTAGCACAGTTTTTTTTTAATCTATTATTTACAAAGTTTATTATTATGACAAAAAAAAGGATTTTTTCTTATTAAAAAAATCATTGAAAATTATTCTCTTAAAAATGATCAAAGTTCTAAAAAATATTGAAAATACTTTTAATATTAATATAATAAGTAGTGTTACTTTTAAAATTTAAAATTTATAATTTAATAACCATTAATATTGAATTATATTGAATTTAAAAATGATGTACCCCATTTTGCTTAATACATCATGATTTTTTTTTAAATATTTTTTTTTTTTAAAAAAAAAAAAATCCAGTTAAAAAAGTCTATTATACTGTATATAATCTTTCAAACTTTGCTTATCATTATAAGTTATTCAAGGGGGTGAAAGGATAAAAAAAAAAGTGGTAAAAAAAAGGTAAAAAATAATGAAAAAAAAAATGTAAAATGTAAAAAAAAAAAAAAATTAATTACAAAGAAAATAAATTTCAAAATTGGGCATGTAAATTTACACAAATTAAACACAGATTATCCTATTAGGTTGTAGTTTTGCTAATATTATTGATTCTCATTTTTTTTTATCCTTTTGTTTTCGTGATAAATTGAGGAACGTTTAATTATTATATACTTTAAAAAATATATATATATATATCCCCCAAAAAAATGCAAAAAAAAAAACCTCGAGAACTATTTATTTTAAAATAAAAAATCCCAGTTAATATTACTAAATCAATTGTGATTTGTTATAATTGCCATTGATAATCTGATTCCGTTGGAGGAAATGTTAAATGATTTGTTGTATCGCTGCCATAAATAGATGTTGAAGTAGATGTTTGTGAAGTAGATGTTTGTAAAGTAGATGGTGGTCGATTCCTTCCTCCTGTTGTTGAAATTGGTGATGGAGCAATAGGGATGTAATGTCTTGAATTGGTTGAGGTTGATCCAGTAGATGTATTATTATTATTAATGGAAATTAAATGATGCTGTATTGGTGATGTATTCGGTGGCGACGTTGTCCTTGACTGTTGATTATATGAATAATAATGACTGTGTTGAAATGATGGTAAAAGAGGAGTAGGGAAAGAAGGAGGTTGCACGATGGTAGGGCTCGGGTCTACAACCACTATAGGTAAAGAATTCGGTGACGTTGGTGCGAGACTTGAAATCTCCAATAAACCTTGAATACTTGGTAAATGTATTCCAGAACTTTGAGAAGCATTAACAGTCTTGTTCCCATTAGGGGACGTAGGTGACCGAATAGTTGCATTCAATTCCTCGGGTCCATTACGAAAGGGTAGAAATTCATTAGTTGTATTATTTGGATATTGAAAATTAATTTGTGAATATTGAATTCCATTATTCCCTGTGGGGTTCAAAGGGTTATTATTAGTAATTGTTACATGTGATGGTGGTGAATTAGGCATAGGTGAGGAAGAAGGATAAGTTGAAGATTTTGATAGAAACGGTGATATATGTAAGCCTTTATTTGATTGAAGTGAAGATGAAGTTCCATTCACTTGAACATGATTGGAACCAAATATCGATTTAGAACCCCCGGATTCAGATTCAATATAATATACATTAGGAAGACTTGATTCTGAAGATTTAAGTCTTTTTGAAATTGGGTTAAGCTGTGATGAATCCAGACTGGGCTTTCTCAAAAGTGATTTTGATGACTTTCCTTCAGATTTTCCGACGCTGATTTCCGAATCAGATTCAATTACAACCACATCATGATCCGGTTCAACATTCTCTTTCACTTTATCATTTTTCAATTTAGTGTTATTTGGTTGAGGCAGTATAGAAGATTCTTTTTTAAATGTCGACATCGTTTTCTGTTCCAAATGGTTAGAAGTGGAAGAGGTCAATACTTCCGAACTTTCAATAACAGATTTATTATGAACCGAAGTTTTCTGTGATTGTTCCAACTTTGACAATGTAGAGTTATTAAATGTAGCACCCTCATCCACAGTTTTCTCATCATTTTGTGATTTTGAATTAAGCCATTGAACTACATCATCTCCATTCTCCAATTTTCTCATTTCCTTCTCGCGTTTATCCATACGTTGTGTGACCAACTGAATTAACAAAAACAAAAAAAAAAAAATGTAAATTATTTGTTTTTAATTTTCAAAGAGAAAAAACATATTCGAGAGTACCTTTTCAATTAATTTATCAAGTTTCCGTCGTTTTGAAAGCTTTTCGTTGTCGTTGATATCTGTATTTTTCTGTAAAATCGCCAGAGTATCATTAACGCGCTTTGATATTAATGATTTAATATGAAGTTTGGCTAATGCAAGCGTCCTAAAATCTTGATCTATTGATCTATCAAACTACAATACAAATATTAATATAAATAATAATTACTTTTTTTTGATTTTTCAAAAAAAAAAAATGATGTCGAACCTGTAGAACACTCTTCCTTAGAAAATTCATTAAAAAAGATTCATACTGAGAGTCGATGAATATTCTTTGACCATTCCTATTCTCACACTCTAAAACTTGCCCGGCATAAGTCTGTCTTGTTTCTCGAAGAACTGTCTGTTTCCAAATTAAAGTAGTTTATTTGGGGATCTTATCATTTTAATAAAATTTCAAATCATTCAAGACTACAAAAGATAACGTTATCATACCATCAATGCGCAGCTTAAATGTTGCATAACGTTCGGACAAATATACATTTGACGATTTACATTAAAGGAAACCTTGTTTGCTTTCAAATTCGCTTTCCCTTTGCCCTTCCATATTTTACCAGCTTTCGTTCTATTAACTAATGGTACCGAATTATTAATATCACCGTTCATACTAGACGATTCAAAAGTTCTAAAAACGCTTATTGAATTGACTAGTCCGTTTACACCTATTCCCTTTGAACCGATTGAAGGGCAAGATGTGGTCGATATGTTGATAATAAATCCTGCACTATTTGGGAACTAATATAAAAGGTAATTAGACAAATGAAAAATCAATAAAAAAGATAAAATAAAAAAATAAAAAATAAAAAAATTGGATTTATATATATATATATATATATATCACCTCAGATTGTATTGCTGTGTGCTTTATGATATCAGATTGAGTAGGAATTGAATTTGAATTTGATTGAAAATTGCTTTTTTAAAAATAAATAAATAAAATAAAATAATTATACGTTAAAAACATGCCAAAATCGAATTCCATTAAAGGATGGTGCAAACTCAACTCAAAAACGTGTAATAACACAATTAAATATTATGAAGTACCTTCGATACCACCCAACAAATTCTAAATTATTATCGGAAAAGATTTGAATGGCATTTTCACGTGAGTTGATCATTTCTTGCACCTCATCAGTCAATAATGAAGTGACAATTCTACAAAATTTTTTTAATAAAAATTGTAGTTAGAATTTGCTGCGCCTCATAACATTGGTGTTACTAAGCCTCGGACAATCGTCAAAATTTACCTTTCTGATGCAACGAATTGATTAACACGACTAACAATAGTGTTTTCAGATCGATCTACATCACATGTACCACCCAAGTAGCCCAAAACTTCATGTTTAACGTCAGCATAAGCACAGTCCAACAATGCTGAAATTACAGATTCGTCAATCGACAAACGAAAATTACTACATTATAAAAAGAAAGAAGTTGTTTTAATATTTTGAAGGAAATATATACAATCTCGCCATCTGGGAAGGGGGACCTTAAAAAACTCCCTTGGCTAATAAATTACGGCGTCTACACTAGTTTTTCTTGCTGACCACTCACAATGTAATTGGGAAGTGACTTGCTTACCCAACTGGGTCGTCAACTTTTGAAGTTGTAGCATTCTTGGTTTGTCGGGAATTGCTTCGACTGGGATTTGAGACCACTCCCAACGTACGATCTGTAGTTGTGGATAATCGTCGCGAAATTGTTGATTCAAGTATAGTTATGTTCTTTTGTTGAGGACTCTTTATGGGTTCTGGACTAGCCACAGTACCGTTAAACATTGGTTTGCCATTTACTATAGGGTTGTTTTCATTTGACGTGCCGATACTGTCAGTTTTTTGTGGCATCTTCAGGGCGATCTATAAAGGAAAAGTAACTAGATTGTCGAAAAGTATGAGTGAGAAATATTTTAAAGCCTAAAACCAAGTTGTTTGTTGTTATTGTAAACCGAAGGAAGACCCAGAATGTTGGACACGATGAGACTTGACCCTCGATGATTTAAACAGGTTTATGTTGGATTTTTTACGAGTAATCTGCGATTCGAAGAAATTGGTTTCGGTGAGAATGGAGATCTTACAAATGATCGTGAATTTAGTTTGCAAGATCTTTCGAAAACGCAAGTGTGTCTTTTCCTGTTTTACTACAAAGAAAATTTCTATGGTACACACTAAAAACACTACAAACTGGCATATCAGTTTTTTTTTAGTGTTTATGAGGCTCTGAGATTTTTTTTTTTTTTTGTCGTTTGGGGCGCCGTTTAGGTATGATTTGATTCTGGGGTTACCGTGTTAGAAACTGTCTAACCAGGGTCGTGCACCATATGGCCAATCAAAAATGTTAATAATATTGAAATTTCACTCATATTGATCCGCATGCATACTTGTAAAACTGCAATCTGATTATGTTAGATAACAACATAATTTATTACTTTTTGTTTGATAGAAATAATATTTACATCAATATAAATAAAATATAAAACGATTTGTGCAATTTTGATATTTGAATAATATATATATATATTTTTTTTACAAACCTCCTTTTCCTTGTTAAAAAACTATAAATATATGTGGAAAATCATACACGTAATAAATAATCGAAAATGATTTACATTCATTGTAAAAAAAAGAGAACTAAACTCCCTTATAACTATGATCTGTTATAATGATAGTGATAATAATAATACAATTAACCTTTTTTTTTTTTTTTTTGTTTTTTTTTTGTCTTCTAACATTATTGATTTTCTTTCTGTCGAGTAAATTCTTTCTGTCAAGTAAATGGAAAAGGAGACAGTAAACATGCCAATCCAATATGAAAAAACAAATATATATATACACAACACACTATAATGAATAAAAAAAAAAAGAAATACATTGTCCCATTTAATTTTGGGTAATGATAAGATATTGTTCTTTAAAGAATTCTCCTCATTTTGATAATGCCTTACAATCAAGCATTACTAAGACTTGGAAAAGCTCTTTGATCATCAATATTGACGTATCCACTACGTCCACCACCGCGACGACGGTTATCACGATTGTCATTATCAAAATCGCGATGACTGTTACGTCCATCGCGGTCACCTCCACGACCACCACCGCGACCACCGCGACCACGACCACCACCACGTCCGCGTTGAAATCCACCTGCAGGTCTTTCAGTAAAAGTTGGCTCAATTTCCAAATAATTTTTAGCTTTAGATTTCTTACTCTTGAGACGATAAGATTGCTCCTAAATGAATTGAATTATTTCATCAATGGTTAGGTAAAAATAAACCTTTAAAGATAAATTTCGATATTATTTTACTAACTTTTCCGGTGAAAAGGAAATCTTCTTCATCCTCTTTTTCAAGTTGAACAGCATCTTTCCACTGAGAATCATCGGTTCCCTCATTGGGTTTTCTAGCTTCGGGAAGGGAAATATCTAACGACTTTAGGGCCTTTTCAGTAAGGTATTCATCATAAGTCTTTACGACTTCCTCGGGCTCATGTGCTGGAGTAGATTCACTAGCCGCTGTATTCTCTCCTTGATCAACAGCAACTTCCTCGATTTCGGGTTGTTGTACCCAAGCATTAGAATCATTACCAGTAGTATCGACATCCCAGCCAGTTTTTTCTTCGGTTTTCTCTTCTTCCCAACTACCAGTATTGGCACCAGCATCAGTTGTCTCATTCCAACCAGGTGCTTCAGTATTTTCGGTTGTATCGTTCCAAGTAGTAGTCTCAGTCGTATTGGCATTATCCCAGCCAGGAGTTTCGGTTGTAGTGGCATTATCCCATCCAGGAGATTCATTCGTATCATAAGTAGTTGCTGCATCTCCCCATGCTTGGGTTTCTTTCTTTTCGCTATCACTGTTAATAGAAAATAAATGAATTTTATTAATTGTTTTAGGTACGATATTATCAATTAGCACTTACTATCTGCCCGTTCCACTATGCCTATCATGTTCACGTCCACGTCGACCACCGCGGCCTCCACGATTACGATCGTTTGGGCGAGCACCACGTGAATTCCTTGTAGGATAATCACCGCCGCCGCCGCCGCCTTCTTCACGACGTCCGGCAAGACGAGGACCTACATTTTTTTCACGGGGAGCTGCTTTAACACAAATGGTGAATAAATTACTATAATTTCTAATATAATTTATTAAAGAAGGGGGGGGGGGGGCATTTTAAAGGTACTCATTGAAATCATTTTAATAATTTTTTTTCTTAAAAAAAATTGCAAGAAACGTTATTAACAAAAAATGATCTCAAGATTTTCGAGAGGTCGCGACATAACGATATTTAAAATATTATGTTGATTTTTTTTCCACCTTTTCACAGATTATATTTACATGATAAAAAATACATACCTGATCTCGTATCCTCATTTCTGTTAGAGGTAGAAGTTTTATAACCACCTCTTTGAGGATAATCGTGACGAATTCTAGCCTCTTTAGGACTCGCACGAGACCTATCAACCTTTTTAACGATTAACGTTTCTTTTGCTGGAGCTGGCTCTTGCTGTTTAGCTGCAGGCTCAGCCTCTTCATTTTCACTTAATAGGTCGAATAGATTTCGACTTGCTACACTCGCCATTATTAGGAAACGTTTTGATGGATGGATAGAGACAATCCGTTTTAATTTGTCGCGCCTTTATTTTTTTCCTAAAAAAAAAAAAAAAAAAAATGCACCATATATGGATTTATAATTTCTAATTTATACTTGATTTAACCGAACCTAAAATCTTTGTCATGTGAATAGAATCTATAAAAATGTGATAACGATCATTTCAAATTACCAAAGTTAATAATAGCTTAACAAAATTTTTCTAAACGAATTTAAAAAAATAAAAAATGAAAAAAGAAAGAGAAACAAATTATAATTATTATTTTTTTATTTTTATTTTTATTTTGTTCTAATTCTTTTATAATAATAATAGTAATTAGTCAAAAAAAAAATGGATAATGCTTTAACACTCCCACGTGATCGGTGACATTTAATGGGGCGTGAAACCAAAATTTCTAAGTCCCGACATTTTCTTTTGTTATATTACTTTTGACAAATTGTGCATGTCACGTGGGGGTGGAAAATTCTGGGATAAGATTAACGTCATCGGGTACGTCTGCAGTTTTTTGGACATAAATTTCGAGTTCAAAAAATTTTTTTTTTTCTTTTTGATCGCGACTATTTTCATAATTCGCGTTTTTTTTTTTAATTTTTCCTCCTTCACTGAATTAAAAAAAAATTTTTTTTAATTCTTTTTATTCAAATATTTAAAATCAATCATGTTACCTACCACGAACCCTATAACGATCTCGCAGAATACTGCTGTAATTGTTCATCCTTTGGTACTATTATCCGTGGTAGACCATTATAATCGTGTAGCTGAAAGTACTAAAAAACGTGTTGTTGGAGTTCTTTTAGGACAAAATAATGGCAAGACCGTTAATGTGGCAAACAGTTTTGCTGGTAAATATTTAGGAACCTATTTTTTTTTGGTCTTTTTTTTTGATTTAAAAATTAAGTTATGTTTAAATTAATTGAATTGAATAATAATTATAGTGCCCTTTGAGGAAGATGAAAAAGATCCATCTGTATGGTTTTTGGATCATAATTATGTTGAAGCCATGAATGACATGTTTAAGAAAGTCAATGGTAATACGTTGGTTACGATTTTTTTTTCATTCCATCATTCATTTTCGTAAATAATGAAAAAAAAATTATTTAAATGATTATTAGCAAGGGAAAAGATGATTGGATGGTACCATAGTGGGCCTAAACTTCGTGCATCAGATCTGGAGATTAATGAATTATTCAAAAGATATACACCCAATCCAGTTTTAGTTATCGTAGATGTAAAACCAAAAGATATAGGCATACCAACGGATGCTTATTTCGCCATCGAAGAAATCAAAGATGTAAGTGATCTTTTTAAATATTAGGCTTTATTTTAATATATATATATATATTATTTATATTAATTTGTTCCTTCTAATTTTTGATATCAAGGATGGAACGGCGACCACTAAAACGTTTATGCATGTTCCCTCACAAATTGAAGCGGAAGAAGCGGAAGAGATAGGAGTAGAACACCTTTTACGTGACATCAAAGATAATGCAGTTGGTACCTTATCGACTCGAGTTACAGATCAATTAAATTCTTTAAAGGGTTTACAGTCACGTCTTGAGGAAATTCGTGAATATTTACAAAAAGTTGTTAATCATCAATTACCAATTAATCATCAAATAATTTATAACCTTCAGGATATTTTTAATTTACTGCCAAATCTTAATGTTAGCGATACTGTTAAATCGTTTTCGGTAAAGACAAATGATCAATTATTAGTGATTTATTTGTCTTCTTTAATTCGTGCTGTTATTGCCCTTCACAATTTAATTAATAACAAAATTGAAAATCTAAAAGGTGAAAGTGTTCAACAAATTGAAGAAGAAAAGAAGGAAGAAAGTAAAAAAGATGTAAAAGATAAAGAGGGAGGTGAAATAAAGGAAGGGAAAAAATAAATCTCTTTATTAATTAAATTTATAGATAATATGATTTTTTTGTACTATGCTTAGTCAATATAAAGTAAAGTTATATATATTTGCAATTTCCTTTGCCTATAGATTTCTCTTATTTATTTAAAAGTTCAAAACTAGTTTCACCATCCTTGGTAGTGACTTGAACCATTTTTCCGTGAGGTATTGGTAAAGTTCCATTAGTATATTCAAATATACGCCTATGTATACGTATATATATATATATATATTTTATATAATAAAATAAAATAAAATAAAATGATCAAATGAAAGTAAAAAAACAAAGTGGACAAATTTTTTAAAACTGGAAGATGTATACTTACTGAGATAATAGATCTAAAGGTATCCACTGAGAGAAATCAGCATTTGGCATTCCTTTACGATTATCTGAAGTGTCAATCGTTCCCCTAATAAGAATTTATCGAATTTATCTTAACATTTTGATAATGAACAAGAATTTAAATAAGATGGATGAAAGTTACGGTAAAATTGCTATAGATTTTGCGTTTTTTGGTAATCCGCTGCCTTTGGAAACTATACTATCGAATAAATGATGAACTGCGGCTTTTGCAACTCCATATCCAATATATCCTAAATAAATTAAATAAATAAATATTATTATGAATACAAAAGCTGTTTAACAATTAAATAATCCATTCATTACCTGGAGTAGGTTGCAGACCGGCTACGCCAGTTAACATCAAGAGGCCACCACTAATAATATCACAGGATATCATATCAATATTAGAAATCCTTATGATTTTACAAGACATCAAATCATGTTGCGTACTCTTTTAGGTTCACCGTACTCATTTTCGACGCGATCAAGGCGGTATTCAAAATTTTCTTCACCATTAAATCCACAGATTCCAAGAAATCTATCACAAATTTAAAAACGTTTTAAAAAAAAAGAAACGTATCTTATAACAAAACTACAAAAAAAATAATTGATGTCAAAAGGTATTCCCAAATTTTTTACCTCCTTTTGCTAAATTCCCCATAGAAAAACCACCAGCCACACACAAGATAGCGTCATACTTTTCGCCATTAAGTATTGAACTAACATTTTGCATAACTTCCTTCCCTTGTACTTCTAAGGAATCATCATTTGAAACTATAATATTATGAGTAGCTTCTATATTTTGACGAGTTCCAACTGAAGTCACTTCCTAAACCACATAATCAAACGCGCAATTAAAAAAAGATACACTTTGAAACAAACATTCTAAGTAGCTTACCCAATTATTCTTTCTGAATAATGTAATTAGACTTCTACCCAAGTTACCAGAACCTCCATAAACAACAACTCTGAAAGCCATGTTTTTTTAAAAAAAAACGAAAAGTGAGTTATTTATTTTATTATTATCTTTTACAGTAATGTAATTTTTCATGTGATGGCTCGGAATTATCGACAGATCTGAAACCTGCCACTTATCGGAAAATTTATACTAAGCATTACGATTTTTGAGGAGACGATACGATATTCGGCAGTGATTGCCTAAAAACAAAATAAAAAAAAAATAATAGATATGTTAGATATGCTTAAATCAAAATATGAAGATCTTTTAATATCAGCACATCAAATTTTATTGTTATTATATTTTCATGAGTTAAATCACCGAGAATAGAATTTTTGAATTATTGAATTTTTAAATTTTTGAAATTTTTTTTTTTTTTTTTTTTTTTTTTGTAAAGAAAAAATTTAATATAGATACAAGATAATTTTGTTATTGCACTTTGTAAAAAAAAAAATTTTAAAAACACCAAAATAAGGAAAATGTACATTTATAAAGAAAAAAAGAATTTCTTGCAGAGAAATTACTAGGCTTTTTTTGATGTAGAGGGTTGTGAGATGTTATCTATAACGAAATACATGAATATATATATATGTAATAACTACTATTAATATCTTCAAATTCTACTATGATAAATAAATATATTTAAATTATAATATTATTATTATTTCTTGTACGTCTTATTTTATCTCGTTAGAGTTTCCTTTTTCGGTTTTTCAGCTTCCATATTATATACCTTGTCATAAGTCATTTCTCCCTTGCGTTTCATTATGTTGCGCCTTTTTGCTTTCTTTGTTACGCGACGCGTCAATTTCTCCTTATCACTAATTCATTTTCATTAAATACAGTAAAGCCAATCGTAGAAATGGTTGGTTTAATATGCTAAGTGAAAAAAAGGTAGCAAAATTTAATGATAATCAAAATAAATTTCGATTACAATTTAATTAAGAAAAGAAAAGAATCTACTACATAATAAAAATTATGTAGCAAAAAAACCAAATAATAATAATTTTTTTAAAAAAAAATCATAATAATGATAATAATAATAATAATAATAATAATAATAGTAATAATAATAATAGATGAAACCTTTTTAAAAAAAAACTGTACAAAGAAAAATTGGATAATGTAAAAGGAAAAAAAAGATATATGTATAATTTCTTAATAGAAGGGAGAATAAAAAAAAACATCCACATGAAATAACCAAGAAAAATATAACTAGCGAAGAATGTTTGGAAACCAAATAAAGAAATTCCTGCAGAGGAAGAAAACCCACCCAAAATGTCCACAAATGGTTTGCTAGCGGATAAAGTGTAAAAAGGGAACAACCAATAATGACTTATTTTCCATCCTTAAAAAGATGGAAGGTTAAACAATATTGAACAACCACATTATTTTTTCCTTCATCGAAATTTGGCAAAGAATTTTTTTTTTAATATCTCATCATTCCAGAACCTGGTGGTCCATTTACATGATTTGACATGTGTTGAGGGACTTGAACATTTGTCATTCCCATTGTTCCTTGAACGTTTGTGACTGGAATGCCTCCTTGCATATTACCTGGAACCATTCCAATTGGAATTCCATTATGTCCAACATTCATTCCAGATAAATTTTGTGCCATTCCTCCAACAGTGGGTTGTATTGATTCTAATCCCATAACTCCATTAGCTTGAGCAATCGGACAATCTTTATGTGCAAGTAATAATGTTTTTAAATTAAGAATTTCTTCACGTAAACTTTGTGCCTGATTCTGCAAAGTCTCATTGTCGTTCGTAAGATATTCAACCTTAGCCTGTAAGTTAGCGAGCCATTGTTTCTTACGTTGACGGCATTTAAGTGCAGCTGATTTCAACATAAATAAATGTTATTGAAATTATAATTGCTACATATAGGGAGATAAATATGAGAAAATTTAGATACCTTGACGATTTCTTTCCAAAAAGTTCCTTCGCTTTTCTTCGTCCGTCATATCACTCTTAGATTTTTGTCCATTTTTCTTTGAGGGAGGTTGTTCGGAAATCAAACTATCTTCAGCTTTTCGACGTGCATTACGAGAAATACTTTTTATAGGACTGGAACTGGCCGATCGATCATCATCATGATCCATCATCGATTGACCAGTAAGAACGGATCCTTTATGATGCGATATATTCGAACTTATCCCATTAGAATGTGTTCCATTATTTAATATGATCGCAGAATCTGTAAAATCATCATTTTCGGTTTTTGGCATGATCGTATCTGACATCATGGATACATTTCGATTTATGGTATCTTGTTGATTCGAAGCCAACATATTTCGATTAAGCGCAGGATTTGCAACCATCACTGTCTGACCAAGTGGATTCGTTACCATTACGCTAGCGGAAGGCGCAACCGTGTTAGAACCATTAGTTATACCAAGCAAATTCGTTGCGTTCACCCCAGATTGTAAAACGCCAGGTTGTGACGTGGAAGCGCCCGAGACGGAAGTAACGGAATCCGAGATTGTTTTACGATCTGAATCTGTAAGTGGTTTTTGAACGTTCTGAGCGAAAACATTACGACCAAAAGGATCTGTAGCATTTGCGGCATTTGACAATGTCATCACATTCATGAATGACGAGGACAAACTTGAATTTTGCGTTCCAAAAAGTGCGGCCGTTCGAGGTGATGGATCTGGGAATGAGCCATAAGGAAGTGGGGTGGTTCCTGTTCGTCCAGCTCTTATGTCATCAAACATCATTGAATCTTGCGGTCCCGCTAACATGGAAGGTGATAATGGCCCACTTCGCAGTGACTGTAAATTCCAACCATATTGATCCTCATTAGTAGTGATACCAGCTGATGGGCTTTCAAGTTGTGCAACTGGTGGTAAACTAGGCTTTGGACTATTCGTTCCGGAACTTTCTGAAAGGGGATTAACTCCGGAAAAACTCTGTTCGAATGGATTTGGTTCCAAGTCATGTTTTGAACATGCAGCTAAAAATCGTGTTGGAGTTTGTTCAATAGTTGGTGGAGGAAGATCTTTAGCGGGGAATTTAGTTAACGCCTTTTTAACTGGCGAGGATGATGATGATGATGATTTAGATGTTTCGGGAGATATGCCGGCTGGAGGGGTAGAAATGTCGGAATCTAAATGAATGTGTTCCATTCACGTTGTTTTTTTTTTTTTTAAATTTTTCTGTCAAATAATTTTTTGACATTGTTTGCTCCTCATCCGAAATCATTCATTAAATGATTGGACAAAACCATCCAATCATTTGATTCATGAGGTAGAAACCATCTAATAATAATCTAAAAAATATGATTGTTCTTACCTTCATTTGTAGTAGCTGACTTGCTTGATGGTGAATGCATGTTATTTTCAACCATTTATGGGAGGAACAAACAACTATAAATATTGAGGTTTCTTCTTAATTTTATGAAAAGTATGGATTTGATTAAGTCTCTGAAAAAAACATACCTGATGATAATATTTTTATCACACTCTCAACTTGCTTCTTATACACTTCAATAAAGTTGTACCTAACAAATTACAACAAATCGAATTTATATTTGTTTGGTGACGCTTCACGAATTTATTATAATTATAATATAATATCATTTACCTTTGGAAACAAAACGTAATTTAATTTTTTGGATATTTTTTAACAAATAAATTTCGAACAAGGGGTGATATAACTAATGAAACTATTAGAAGATATGTGTTTTTAAAACTTTCAAGTTGTATAATTCGAGAGCAAATTTCATAGATTAGAGAATCTCGTACCTATTAAGGAAATAATGCGAAGGAACCCTTTTTAAAAGTCGTAAAATGTTATAATAGTAAAAGGTACCCTCAACTAGTTTAAGTAAAACCTTTTATAAATAAAATTCGACAAATAAAATTAAACTCTACAATCCAATACAAAAGATTATCGTTGGTTTTTTAGCAGGAATCAAGTAACTGATATGGGTGAAAAAAGAAAAAAGGCTGGTGAGAGGTTAGAGTTGTGTGAGCTTTTTTCTTTTTTTTTCTTTTTTTTTTTTTTTTCTGCCACATTCAAAAAAGGTCACCGTGTGGTATGGCAGAAATACGATGCCGCATAAAGACTTTGCACCCCAAATTTAAAAGTGGGAGATATGTACAATAGTTATTCATCACTTAAAAGTGACACACACAGCCGACTATTTAAAATTATTATTCCATATTTGAATGTATCTAACTAAAAACTTTAAAGGCGATCTCCAAAGAATTATTTTATTTCTTACCACAGAACTTGCAGAATTTTGAGAATTTGGGATGAGTCGATTTCTCCCTTTTAGCATAAGGAGAAGAGCAAGAAAAATAAATTCAATCAAGTAAATCAAATATAGTCAATATAAATTAATTGATCCAGCACATATATATATTTTTAAAGATAATTCAAATGAATACTATCAATGGTTTGGTTTACAAATAAATCGAGTATCATTATATCATATGTTTCACAATATAAATTATTACAATAGGATAAATACAAAATTTATACAAATTTAGCCCATGCGGAAATTTACATTAGGTATAATGATTCAATATTTACGTCATAGTTACCAATTTTCACTTGGATTTCCTTCTAAAATGTCTGTCAAAAATAACTTTATAATAAGACCATCTCTGTAGATCGATACAAACATAAATACTGCGCCAAGAAACTAGTTTAAACAATTATGTTTGTTACCAACAGGAAGTCATTTGATTTTATTTCTTATCGTCTATTTAATTTCTTTATATGGAACTTGATCAAATTTTCTTTTTATTCCCCAATCAGTTTAAAACTTTCAACAATTCAAAATTCCTCTATATTGAAAAGATCTGTTTATTTAAATGGCTGAACCTTAAAATATCATGTCCCACACATTATTTTAATTACAGTCATATGAATTTTCTCCTTTTGGTCTCATAATTTTAGCCAAAATCTCGAGCATTTTAAATTCCCAGACTATACAATACACATCACATGCAAATTTTACAAAACCTATGATCTTGTGCTTAAAATTCAATCAATCATCTGAATAATTATCGGAAATCCTTTTGTAACATGCTAGAAACTTGTCTCCATTATTTCGTTCCACCTTTTTTCCTTCCTCTGTTGCAGTTTGTACATGTGGAACAACAGGATCCGTTTCCTAAATCCAGTTAATTATATTGGTTATTTAACCCTGCTTTCTCTCAAATTTTGCTCAAATGAAAAGTTCCTTATTGATTACCAGTTCATCGTCTGAAATTCGTTCGAAAAGTGGATGTTCTTCTAAATGTTTAACCATCCATTCATGCAAGTCTTTTACATCTGTGATCGTATAGATTATACCGCCAACACGCAAGACGTAGGCGTATTCTGATAATAGTTGATTTCTAAAAAGTCGAATTCAATTCGTTAAAAAAAGATCAACTTATAATGACCTCCTTTACATGTTAAACTCACGTGATAATCCTAGCCTTATGCTTTCTCGTTTTAAAATGCGGATCTGGAAATAAAAAGAACATTTTTGACAACTTTTACCCATCATTTTAGATCAAAAAGATTGTCTAGGTATTTCCATAATTAGCTAAATCTTTATTAAAAGAAATACTTACTTGACCTTTCTCAAAAAAATTTGGTAAGAATTTCATGGCATTCATCCTTATAATGGATATGTTTTGATATTGTCCAGGATTCTGTAACCTTAATGCGTTGATTCGTTCGCGAACATATTCTTCAACTTTTACTCGAATTTCCATACCTTTATTTACGTTGAAAATCCAGAAATAAGATGGATGCAGATAAAGATTAACCATCAAAAAGTAATTGAAATGAATTTTTTGTACCTAACATTAAAGTGTCTGGAAATAAAGTGGATAACGCAACCAACAACCCTCCATATCCACAACCAAGGTCTGCAAATTCAACTTTTTGAATTGATGACGGATTATGTTGTGTACTAGTACCCTGATCATTGTTCTCATTTTTCAAAGTAAAGAATTCTGGAAAATGCCTAGACCAATCCATGTGAGCGGGACTTACTGGACTATTTTAACATGCAAAAGATGTTTTCAAGAAATTAAATGATTAAATTGAATTTAAAAAAATGAAATTAATCGTTACTATTCAAGGTAGTGATCCGAAAATGGGTTTGAGTGGGCTCGCTGTCGAAAATATCGTTTCTGAAAAGAACACAAAAGATTGGAACGTGTTTTATTATGAAATTGAGAAATTTTTAGTAAGTGAAAATTCACCTGGGGTAGTTTGGCTGACATGATTGCAATTTTTTTTTTAGAAAAGTTGAATGAGAACCTAATATGTATCATGTTCACAGATTTTCGAAAAATTGTGTCACATACGCCAATCAACCAATCAATTTAGTAAAAATAATTTTGGACGATAATCGTCTAATGAATGGTGATATATATATTTTTTTTGTTTTTCCCTCCATAAATTAGATTGCACTTGTTTTTTGGTGTAGCACGACTTGCCGTCACATGATTTAATATAAATATATTTTTTTTACGTGTTAGTCCATCGTTTAAGCGAAAGGAGATTTTATCTTTCTATCCAATCAACTTTTTATTAACACATGTCTCTCATTCAGGTTCAGATGAAAATATTTCGATTTGCGTTTATCTTCTCATAGGGGTCATCATTTTTCCAGTTCAAAAGCTGCGCCACACTCCAATTTGGGTCGTTACGTTGCACAACTTTGTAAATCCAACACCAGTTCCCGACCGCTAGTTTACAATTCATAACTCACGAGACAAATTTTGATTCTCTGGTATCATTAGTAAAAAATGTCTAGCAAGTACAGTGCGCTTCCAGACATCGTAAGTTCTTCTTGCACTATACTTGAGCGATTAGCTACATTGTGAATAAATTTTAACTGGTTTATTTGTATTTGCTCACACGCAAAAAAAATTACTTAGGACACTCAACCAGATGTTTATGAAACACCAGATTCCCCTGATGAAGCTGAAGTCTCTGATGATGGAGTGAGTTTAATGTACTCTTTAAGGTTTCAGCTCTTTCTGCAATTCTGAAAATATTATTATTTCCTTAACTAGTTTTTAAATGTGGAAGAGCCCAATGACGACATCGTCCGGGACAAAATTTCAGTCGGCGAGGCTGTGGATAAGTTTAAGGGTAGCGAAACTAACGGCGACGAATCAGGTATAACTGATTGAACGCATGGTTCCTTCAAAATTCGAATTTTTTTTTAATATTCAATTCGATTTTAGAAATCGATCGATCCACTCGTCATAAGAAACATATGTACAAGAAGTTTGTCAACCAGGCCTATTTAGAGAATGAATATGAGATTGTTCCAAGAGATCCTACATTGCTAGAAACTCCAATTCAAAAATTAAGAAGGTTGATGTTTGAAGTGCAGGAACTTGGAGAGGAAATTGAGAAAAAAAAGGTTAGCTTTACTACCATGGGTAGTTATGTTTCATCATGTTCACATGATGACATATATAATCGATTATTTAGGAAGATTCAGAGTTATCCCAGATCCCTCAGAACTCTCAAAGTGTGTTATCAAACTTAAATAACGAACTCACACGTTTCAGTCAATCCTTGGGTGATACCGATATCTCAGATGATAAAGATGGTGCAATAATAAAACAAGCTGAATTGGGCAAAAGATTGATCAATCAATTGCAGACATTTAAAAATATGGGTATGCCCAAGGAAAACGGAATATCGGAGCCAAAGGATGGATCAATAAATGGTGAGCCAATGACAAATGGTATCATGAATGAAAGTGCGAAAAATGTGAGTAAAAAAAATTTTATTTACTTTTATTTTTATTTTACCTTAAATTTTTCCCAATGATTAAATATAACATAATTCGAATTAGATGGTCACATATGAATTGTATTATTCACCTGAAACTACCAGAGTTCACACTTTAGCTAAGACTGTTGATCTCGATGATCGCATCTCTGCGTTAGAAAAATTTGTCGGTACGGCTCATGGTCAAAGTTTCGAGGATCTCGTAAGTCTTTGCAAATATTTTAAGATTTGTTAATAGCTTTAATAACAACGTGATTCGATGACATAAACGTAGTCGATTTCGATAACAAACACCAATCTTATTGCCGCCGTGGACAAGCTCGATCAACAAATGCAGATTTTGTCACAACCACGTCACTTGGAATCAGTTTCCCGCAAGGCCAAAACCTTGGTTGGGGAATTGGAAAAGGTGAACGAGCTAAAAAGTAAAGAGTTATCAAATGGTGGAGTCATTGCTTTTGAGACAGAAGAAAATGTAATTTGATTTTTCAGTTACTTTATTATGTACCAATTTGCCGTTGTCCTTAAAGTGATACTAAATACGAAATTTATCCTTACTGGAAACTTCTTGATATAATACACAAG